GTGTGCTGTGGCTGTGGCTGTGGTTGGGAGTAGATGTGGATGGGTGAGAGGTCTGGGTATGAGATTAACTCTCCTATGAACTCATACCCACACCCTCTTGCATACTTGGACACTTTAGAAGCTCTGTCGACGAGTTTACGTTAGAAGTAATAGGAGCAATATTGAGTTTCCATTTATGAAAGCATTATAATGTGTGCTTTTCAAGTTTAAAGCAACATGGGATAAAATACCATCTGTATGTTAGATATAAAAAAGCAAGACACCTTTACGATATTGCCTCGTTTCAACACAAACTATGATCAGACGTATAATCTGTTATTTCGCTTTCGTCCTTCTTCAGTAAATACCATTGATTTTTATTTTTTATTCTTGTAATAATTATCGGTTTTCTATTTTAGCGTTACAACCACTACTCAGCAGTTCGGTAAGCCTTACATTTACGTGTCTTCACTTCACTAAATGCCAATTTTAAATCAGATATATGTAGTTACTTTGCATCTAATTTTAATCTGCATTAGGCGTGGCATATTACTAATGTTGGCAATAAGTGATAACTAGTGACGTTATTACTTAGTGCTGGTAATAAGTAATAATTTTGAAAAGTAATAAAAGTTTATAAATGTTATTACTAAATACCAATAGTAAGTGATAACCACAAAACAGTAATAGTGTAATACACAATTGAGATGGTAGAATAACTTCTAACCATCGATTAGATTTCGGCTTTCCTCACTAAAGCATTATGGCATCGTTAGATTTTATTTTCCCAACGTAAATTGGTCTCAATACTTATGTATTACTGATGGAAGAAGTATAGTTTGTAGATTGTGGAGTTCCAGTTTGGTTAAAATAATGCTTCATCAAAATGCAGAAATTTAATTTAGTCACGTAATGAGTAGAGTGGCACTTTCCTTTCCTAAAAGAAAGCTTTGGACTTTGCCTACTTTCCTTTCCGAAAAGAAAGGAAGGAAAACTTATTAAGTTGGATGGATGTCGAGTGGTGAACGCTTTTGTACATATATTACCTGTTAATAAGATGAAGTTCTGAAAAGCAGCCATTTAATATTCTCTGGTCATTTTCTTTTTCTTGTTTCATAATATTTTTTCTCCTGTTCTCTCCCTTCTGACATCACACTATTTTTCACCGTCTCTTCTTTTGTTCAAGTAGTTTGCCATTCTTCTCCCATTTTCTCTTCGGATTCTTTAGAGGCATTATAGATAACGCCATTTAAGTAATTGTTGTGTACCATTGCAATGGATAATAAAAAAATTGTGCAAACAATCGAACATTGAAATATTTCAACTTTTCTTTCCTCTCTGAAGGCAAAATGAAAGTGAAAGCACCAGTTCTACTATCCATTCAAAAATTCAATGGACTGCATTGTGAGTTGAATCACTTTTGAAAGAAAGCAGCTAGAGAGCTGTAGCTTTCACCAATAGAAAGAGAATAAAAAATTTTACTAAAATATGTGAAAAGTTGATTGGTCAGCAATTGACCAATCAGATGAGTCCTCTCCGTATATTTTGAAGATGGCTTTCGGAACGCTTTCTTTCTTATTTTTTAGACTTGAATATGTGCCCCTCGATAGAAAAGAAAACCAATTCGCTTTCGATCTACGCAAGGCCGAGCTCACTAGCTTGCTCGGTTCAGGAGCTATAAGCATTTTCTTCTCACCCCCGAAATTGACCAGGTGACCTTCAGCAGCCCTAAAACTAATCAGATTAGGGATAATCGACCACGCCGAGTCGATTGGTGATGTTTGTTTTCAGTTTCAACATAATACGAAATTACTATATAAAGATTTTCCAAAGTGTCACTTTCCCCCTACGGCACACTTCATAACAGATAAATTGAAAATCTTGATATAGTGATTTCGTATTATGTTGAAACTGAAAACAAACATCCCCAATCGGCTTGGAATGGTCGAATACCCCTAACCTGACTAGTTCTAGAACTGCTGAAGGTCACCTGACCAATTTCGAAAGTGTCAGGGAAATGCTTACAGCTCCTGAACAGAGCAAGCTAGCGACCTCGACCTTGCGTAGATATAAAGAGAACAGTTTTTTTTTATCGAGGGTATATATTGAAGTTCAAAAAATAAGAAAGAAAGCGTTCCAAAAGTTGTCCTCAAAATGTACGACAAGACCTCACATGACTGGTCAATTGGTGATCAATCAACTTTTCACATATTTTAGTAAAATTTTTATTCTCTTTCTATTGGTGAAAACCATAGCTCTCTAGCTGCTTTCTTTCAAATGTTACTCAACTTACAACGGAGTCGATTATAATTTTGAATGGACAGCACTTAGTTCCATTGTACTTAAACTGTTTGACGCGAGCAATTCTTCAAACTATATTCCAAGTTTCATAGGCTTACTTCTATATCACTGTGCATTCGACATTTGAATTCAAAATGAGAGAGATAACAAAATTCGTCAGAGCTCGTTTGAAAAAGTCTTACTAAATAATATGAATGCTGGAATTTGTCTCTCTAAACGAATTTCCTATTAAAATGATATTTTAAACAAATACCTTACATAGATCTAAAAAATCTATGCTATTATATCGACGTCTCTCTCGTTCGTTATGTACTTGATCGAAACAGTCAGTCCCTTCCATTTTGTGTCAATATGAACATGTATGTAATCCTAGTGACACCAGCACTTGTTTTCTTAAATAAATGATATGACTATTATTATTGTATATTGATGATTTTACAGAAAATGTAATAAAAATCTTTCGAGACTAATCAGACAAGTAATGTTCATCGCGTAACAATTCACTTAGCATTAGACTGACAGAATAGACATATAAATACAGTCGCACTAAGCTATAAAAGTACATTTAAAAGAGAAGTAAAAGAAATTGATAACATGACAAGTATGTCATAGGTGATCGTAACTAAATTTTGAGAATTGACATTATACACAAGTAACATTCGCCGTGGGTCGATTTATCCGCCCTGGACAGTCGACATTAGGAATGGGTAAAGTTTTCTTTTTTTTTTGAAATTGCAATCGCGTCGAAATCAAAATCTGAATCACTGATACCGATTCCGATTCCAATTTGGAATCGTTCCCTGACTGATTAACAAGTAATTCTAAATTACTTCCATGAACCATTGAATTGAATGTGTCTGACGCTAAGCAGAGCTAGAGGTATCTTTTTTTTGTGGTTTATGAGATTATTGTTTATATGGATTTCTAATGGGGTTCCCAAATTTCGTCAATAAGACTTGCACCAATTGGGCATTCGCCAATGCCGAAAGACCACTAGACTCTCATCGATTGTTTTGAAAGAATATCAGCCTAGCATACTTATAAGGAATGAGGGCGTGAAGACATATGCCATTGCCTATGATTATACATATGATCGATAGAAATCTCTCTAACCTACGTGTAAGTTATACTTAAGATGGCGAAAGTCATATTGGTGAAATTCTGGTAACCATTTCTAAATCATTCTAATCATTAAAAGAGAACAAAATAATTGTGTCGCATTCCATGAATATATTGCTGATTCCAAATCTTTGCTTGTACAAATCGGAATGGTCGACACTGATTTCGATCCAGAATCACCTATTCCTACTCGTCATAGCAGCAGTAGCCCTTTCTATCTATTCTAAAATTCTAGAATTCTCATTGAAATTCCAAACTTTCGAGATCGCTACGCACGATTCATTGTTTTCGAGTTTTGATGTCATCGGAATTTTCAAAATAATTAGAATTGTAGAATAATCAGAGTTGATGAAATTTTGCAATAATTGGAATTCTTCAATGATCAGAATTCTGGAATCATAAGAGCTGATGAATTATTAGAATTTCAGAATAATCAGAATTAATGCAATTTTAGAACATTCCGAATTATCAGAAGTTTAGAATAATGAGCTTTATTCGAGAATGTTTATTGGCCACGAACGTCTGTAAAAAAGTGGCTACACTAGTTTATTTGTTGGTAAGGTTGGTCTCTTTTCTTTTATCTATCTTTCTTTATTGTCTTCCTAACACATATTAGGTGGATGATCGAGAAAGATAGATAAAAGAAAAGAAAAGAAACCAACCTTACCAACAAATAAACTAGTGTGGCCACTTTTTTTATAAACGTTCGTGGCCAACAAATATTCGCGAATAAGGCTCATTAGAATTAATAGAATTGCAAAATAATCAGAATTCTTGAATTATCAGAACTGTTGAATTATCTGCATGTTCGAATAATCAGAATTGTAGAATTATCGGAGCTTTAGATTAATCAGAATTAATGAAACTTAGGAATGATTGGAATTTTAGAATTACAGAATTATAGGAAATGAGAGCAAAAGGAGATTAGGGTATGGTCGGAAACGTGAATTTTTATATCTAGCATGATCTATGAGTCTATGAATAAATATACTGTGTTAAAGGAGCAATGGATATTATGATGGATATACTCAGACCCAAAATATAATCAATGATTGGTTTGATGAATAGCGAAAGTGTTTCTGACTATGTGAAGTATGTATAGGTTCAACTAGAACGGAAACTGTCTCGATTTCATCACGTGAAAGAGAATCTCTAATGTTTGAATTGTTGGAGAAAAGTTAGTGTCACTGAATATTCTAATTATTCTAAAATTGAGATAATTCAAAAGTTCTGATTAATCTGAATAATTTTGAACTCAGAAATTCCAGAATTTGGATTAATTTAAAGTTCTGATTGATATAAAATCCTTGTGAGTAGCATTTGTGTATGAGAAATGATAGAGTGAGAATTCGAATGAGAATTCCAGAATCTTGGAATCGTACCCCGTCTCCTATTACACATTAATAATTGATTATAACATCACTCAATGTCTGGAGATAGTGGATGTTTTTTGTGAAGAAATGATGAATATTCTAACATTGAATAAAATGTTATTTGAAGATAAACAAATCTTTCTTTGTTTTCAATAATGTTGAGAAAATGAATGATCACTCTGTTAAATATTGTTCAGAACAAATTAGAGATTCATTTCAATATAATTGATGTTTTTTTCTATTCCATATTTTCGTTTCATTTCAGTAACACCACTACGTGCAAGTTCGATTGATATTCATCCGAATGCAAAATGGGCTCAGAATGGTGTCACTGTTGCTGGAGGAAATGGAGAAGGCAATGGAATCAATCAACTCTCTTACCCATACGGTTTGTATGTGGATGATGATCAAAGTATTTATGTCGCTGATTACTTTAATCATCGTATTGTGGAATGGAAATCTGGTGCAACGAGTGGTCAAGTAGTTGCCGGTATAAATGGACAAGGAGATGGAGCTAATCAATTGAATTTTCCCATGGATGTGATTGTCGACAAAGAGAGAGATAGTCTCATCGTCTGTGATCGTTGGAATAGAAGAGTAGTTCGATGGCCTCGTCGAAATGGTACTAGTGGAGAAACAATCATCTCGAATATCGTTTGTGTCTCTTTGACAATGGACGACAATGGTTATCTCTATGTCGTTGACTTTGAAAAACATGAAGTGAGACGATGTAAATTTGATGACACTCAAGGAACAGTGGTTGCAGGTGGCAATGGAGGAGGAAATCGTCTCGATCAACTCTCTCTTCCCTACTACGTATTTGTCGATCGAGATCATTCAGTATATGTGTCTGATTGGGGAAATCACCGTGTGATGAAATGGGAAGAAGGTGCAAACCAAGGGATTATTGTAGCTGGTGGTCAAGGGCAAGGAGATAGTCTTAGACAATTGTCATGGCCTCGAGGAGTTGTTGTCGATCAATTGGGCACTGTCTATGTGGCTGAGGAAGGGAATCATCGAATAATGCGTTGGCCAAAAGGAGCCACACAGGGAAGTGTCATTGCTGGTGGAAACGGTCAAGGAGGACAATCAAACCAACTGAATCAGCCCATCGGTTTATCATTCGATCGACACGGCAATCTCTATGTCGTCGATCGCGATAATCATCGAATACAAAGATTTAATATCGAAAAGACAACAAATTAATGATGTTTAATTGCTTGTGTGGTTGAAAATGATTTATATTAAATAAAGGATGTTCACGATTAATCAATAAATATATTAGATATTCGTGTGTGCGCGCGGTACCAGAAAACCTTCGTGGTAGTGAAGCAGTGGCGGCCGTTAAGGGCATGCACGAATAAGGCAAGTCCATATGCATATATATATATAATCGAATATCGTGTCGCCTTAAAAATCCCGTGGTGTTGCCACTGCCAGCAGGTAGATTTTCTGATTGAGAGTATACAACGTCCGCCCAAAGTGGGGTGTGAGTGTGAGGCTCGTGCTCAATCATACCCGCACCCCCATCTGTGCAAGATAAAGCTATATAGTTAAGAGGTTTTTCCTACTATGTAGTTCAATAAATAAAGTAATCAAATAGGTAATTGTAATATTTTTTAGAAAGAAGGGGTGCTGATGTGGGTGTGAGTGGGATGGGTGGGTGAGGGACGAATTAAAAACATGAGACACACCCACATCCATCCGCCAACATCCACACCCACCCGCTCACACCCATACCCACCGGCTGACACCCACACCAACACCCATACCCACACCCGAAGTTTAGATTGTTCTACTTACCCATACCTATGCTCATCCATCATGTTGATGATATTTGTCTTTTGTCAAGTATTCTTTTAGACGTGTGTATCTTTTGTTGATAAGAAATTGTTCGTGGTTTGTTCGATTGCAATAATCTTTTATGGCGTAGCATTTGATTTCACTTGGTCATAAAGATGACGAAGATGAAAAAAAGAAATTCTTTTATCTTGAATCGAAACAACAAAGCATCCAATGTCATTCATCTTCATTCTTTGAATTGGCAAAAAAAAAACAAAATACTACTAAAAGAAATGTTTCATTTCATTCATTTTTCGCAAGGAGACAGTAGAAGCTAACATTAACACAATACAAAATATTTCTTTCAATTTTACATTTTCATATAGAATTTTTGCGTAAGTGTTAGTTTCAATTGATAACTGTCTTATTTTCATCAACATAAAAGACACGTGCATAATGAATCGTTTTTGTGATATTGATCTTTTAGTTAAACTTTGCTTCTTCAAAAAGAAAAAAAGAGTAATTGACTATTTCTATGAAGAAATAATCTATCTTTTAGTTATACACTCTCTCGAAATAATTCGAACAAAAATTTATATTTCAACGAATCCTCAGTGCAAAGTTTATATCGAGAAATTTGTTTGATAAGCATTATTGTTGAAAACCAAATTTAATGCTATTATTTCATTAGTAAATAACAATATATTTCACATCAAGAAAAAGTCATCCAACACTTGTCCCTGTCGAAACGTCTTAGGAGTCGCGATATGTACCTGTTGAAGGTTGGCCCAAATATGGACTGTATTGATTTAAGAAACACAAAAATGATTTATGACTGACAATCAACAACATCCATGGTTTCTTTTATTTCCTAATCATAATGTTTCTCTCTCATTGAATGCGAGGACTCAAGTGTCTGTTTTGTAACACACCATTTTCTTTTGGTTACAAGAAGAACGGTAGAAAAAAAAACATTTTCACAACATTACATAGATTTAGCTTCTATGGATGATTCATAGTGCAGATAGCAAGCGTTACTTATGGCAAAAAAACATTCGTTGTGTTACTATGACTGCAAAGTGGAGCGTGGCGATTTTCTGTTCATCTTCAATCCTTCAAAGACTTCTGAAATGAAACTATACAGAAAAGTCGTTTAGCGTTTCATGTCAAAATACTTTTTAATAGTTTGTAAGAAGAGCACTCCTTTAAATATTTTAAGTTACATGATTGTTTGAAATTAAAAGAAAAGAAAAAAGATTTCCCTAAAGCCATAATATTAACATTTGTTTGGCTTGGTTGTTGCAGACAAACTAAGATGTTGAGAGTGAAGGACTACACAAGTTTTGTTTCAAACTACTAAGCTGTAAAAAAGTTTCATACTTTCATACTCGGTGTCTATTGTTTTTCCTGCTCAGCAAGCAGAGTATTACAAAATTTATGAATATTGACAGAGAACAGTAAAGATATGGCCGCCTCTTCAACTTTCAAGAGGACGTTTTATTAACGACTATGCGTAGTTTATTAGATGAGAATACATGAGAAGCTTGTGTCTTTTATTGAAGAAACATAAGATGAATTCATGCTCCATACGACAATAAATTAGAAAATGAGCATTATAAATATATATGGAATCCATGCAAATAAAGTCAGTACAACAATGCTCTACCAATTAATAAGCTTCGTTTTCTTCTTGATTATTTCCAACATCCAATCTCAAGAAAATTCCTATGACACACAACTGCATATATTTCAATCAAATGAGTATAATAAGTTAGATCGCCTTCAGATGGCTCCCTCACGATCTAATAGGAAAATGCCAATAAATTCAAATTCACAAATGTGACAGCTTCAAGAATGTATTGCTTCATGCAATATGTATCTAAACTTTTCAAATCAGATCGTTCTATCTCCGAATTGCTCACGACGCATATTGTCATATGCATATCACATGAAAATTAACAGGTGATGCAAACGTTTTTGCAAAAATATCGCACCGTCTTTCGTCGGCTAAAACATTTTTCAGAAAAATCGAAAGTACCTATTTGAAATCTACATTGAAAGGACTTTTTACCTCTGTGGTCGAAATAGTTCTACAATGTCTCTCCTTTGGATGTGAAACACATTTTCGAATGACACTAAAACTTAGTCGGTAAAAGCCAGGTCAAAACAGGTGCCGTAGAAGGAGCTGATTTCTCAATATTTTTCGGTTTTCTCCTATGTATTCAATCGTATTTTAGTGCTCTTTTTTCGTTAGATTAGCTGTTTAATGCTCTACAAAAAAAGGTAGAAGAAACTCTTAAAATAGCGAGAGGTCGATGGTTTTTTTGACGATCATTCGAAGCCGTTTTTCCTTTCCAGATCAAATTTTAGTGCTGTTCAAAGACATGTTTGGTATCCAAAGGAGAGACACTATAGAATTATTTCGACCATACAGGTAAAAAGCCCTTTCGACGTAGATTCTAAATAGGTACCTTGGATTCTTCGGGAAAATGTTTTAGCCGGCGAAAGACGGTACGACGTTTTTGCTTTGCAAAAACTTTTGCATCACCCGTTAGATACCTGTGTATAGGCACTGCTCGAGGAAAATACCATTCATCATTTACTTCTTCTGTAGCCAGGCGATTAAATGGTAATTTGATGTGTTCCAGTTATTTTTATTGATTTTTTGCTTTCTGTGCATGTAATCTGAATCATAAGTAATCCTTACATTTACAGGAACGCAATTGCAAACGATGGGGTTGCTGCAAACATTGAATACAAATTCACACATTATTCAAGGACGTAGAAGCACTAAACGGTCCTAAGCTTCTGAATCTCGCAAAGCTTAGTGTCGTCGACTTCACTCTCATAAACATCATTTATTTCGTATTTAGTGCTAGCTGCGCTCTTTCAACCACTTCAACATGTTGCAATGTTTTATTTTGCTAATCAAAGAAGAAAAACAACGATAATTATATGGCCCGAAACGATATCATATTCTGTGTAATTGTCAGTTCTTACTATAACATTCACGTTGACGTCTCACATATTAGGTTTGAATAGGGAGGAAACTTGGTACTTGCCTTCTTGTTCGGTCAGCTTGGTCGAGAGACGGTCATCTACAGAACCCTGCTCATTGTGTGAAAGTAATTCAAAGATAGATGTGGGTGCATGTAGGTGTGAATATGAACCAATAAAAACCCACACCAACTCATGCCAATTATATTCATACTCAAATACTCTCAATATAGTAATCAAGATCTGCCAATATATAAGAAATTGAAATTTCAGTCAAGTTCAGACAAAAAAACGTGGCTTGGCGCGTTATTGATTTGGATGATTTTTTTGTTGAGACTGACTGTGAGACGATGAAAATAATATTAACAAGTGAGCCCAAGACGAACAATCCGACAGCCGGATCCGATGGGAATTCACCGGACTTTGTCGGAATCTTTGGTATCGAATTCCGACAAGAAGTTGTCGGATATCGGAAAGTGTCGAAAGTGACCAGGATCCTGCCAGAAACCTAAAAATCCAACACTTTTCAACACCCGACAACTTCCGATGAATTCCCATCGGATCCGATGGGGTGAGCGCGACCTGGGAGGATTCTCTTCGATTGTGTAGTGTTAATCAATCCGATTGAGCGTATCATTCATAAAGAATATCCCAGATTTGTCCTATACAAAAGTTTGCGTACGTGAGAAGGTGGGTGGGGTCTTCTCTTTTTTTTAGACACCCACATCCTACCGACACTCCACCTACATCCACACCCATGATGAATTTTTTCGCTCTGTATAGGACATTGGAGGCTTCAAATCTGAAATATTTTCAAAGAGTAACGAGTCATTTTGAACGAACTTTTTAGTTGCCATTCTAAATAATACCCAGTCTTTTCTTTTGGTTTTGTACTGTGAACTACTGAAATTGTTTATTGAAGAATATTTGTGACTTCATTCTTTATGTTTGATATCAAATAGTATGTTTCACGAATGTTGTTGGATATTAAAGATTTATTGACAGTTTATTCTTGGATTTGTAATTTTTGATATATTTCAGAAAAGCATAAGCTAGATTCGTCATTTGATCGATCAATAAAACTTTTTGCATAAGATGTCCAGCAGTAGTTATTCAAGCTACAGTGTAAGACATCAGGGAAGTAGCAATCAAGCAACAAAATGGCAAAGCACCGGGACGTCATATAGCCATCGATATCACAAAACGGCAAGCGCTTCGGTTTCGACAGAACAGTGGCATCAGCAGTTCTCAACGACATACTCAGAACGTCGAACGATAGTACAAACTGGTGCACAGACACTAAATGAAGTTCAAACAACGCAACATGAAGAACGACAAAATCTAGAATGGAGTGAAACGATGCAAGAAGAATGTGGTAAGATAATTGATACACATCTTTTATCATACACTGTATAGTTTTAGGTACG